TAATAAAAGAAATGCATATATATATATATATATATATATATATACATATATATATTTTTTTTCCAAAAATTCATCATATATATTTATATTTTAGACATTTTTTTCCAATAAGCTTCGTATTAACGATAAACTGAGCGAAGTTATTGTAGAATATATTCTCTCCGCATTCGCAGATACGTACATTTTGGTGTGAAGAATCGGATTACGTAAACGTTTGCGTTAAAAAAACAGATATGGCGCCACGTCCATGTACAGAAGAAGATCTATTCCCACGCTAAAAAAAGATGATGGCTTCGCACTTCGTTTACATCGTCTGGCGCGATATAATCATCGCGAAAAGCAGAAATGACTCGTGAAGATTATACGAGAGGTGTAGGTGTATTCGAAGAGGATCTAAGAGGATCGAAGAGGATCTCGGAGGGAGATAATAATGAAGTGATGGCTCTCGGGGAATGCAAAATCGGCTAGTTGATTTGAATGAGAATGTTGTGCAAAAGTGGCCGGCCACGCGCGACGCCTCTGGTACTCAGTACTTTTACTTCGCACGAGGAGGAAAGCCGCTAAAGGAAGTGGAGATGTTAGGTGCGCGAATGTAACCTACATTCGACACGACTAGGTGATCTCGTTCATTGTGATATACCGGATATTCTGTTTTTGCCTCTTTGCCACGATTTTTATATACATCTCTTGAATTAGGAGCTATCTTCTTTGCGCAAGATCAAAGCACTTCGCTACTTCTCTGACTTCATATTGCATTGTTATTGCATATTGCACAGGAGAAATATCTTCAAAATAACCTCAATATCAAGTCAGAAATGATTGATTAAGCAATGTTAAGTTATTTGCTGAACAAACACACTATTCTTGTGAAACTCTTACACTTCGTATATTAAATAATGTTTAAAGCGTGGAAAAAAAGTATCGAAACTGTCGTGACTGTCAATATATTGGCGTAATTAAATAAAATTGCAATTTTTCATAATTTTCAATAAAAGATTTAAAACTAGTAACGTTACATCTTCACTTTGGAATTAATTTAACCAATTCGAATAGGATTTATGCCTTTAAAGTATGCGCGCATTAATCTTCCTCCAGCTGAAAAGTTCTGGCCGCACGGGACCTTTCACGGGACATTAATGATAGACCACGATGCGACTATGATGCTACATAATGAGGTAGTAGTCAATGCGTTAGATGAACTAGAATATGCATATTAATAAGAAACGCAGTTGCTCGCATTTCTCATCACCTTTAATACCATCAAGCAATTTACTTTCCATGCGCATGAAGAAATCGTGAGTTTCGGATAACCAGATACGTACGCAAAAACAATAACACGAGTAGTATCAACTACTATTAATTAATCGAGAAATGAAATCTTGGAAACACCCATCTCTTTGAAGTGCAGCATGATAAATCATGATAGCAATAAAGATTAACGAATTGTTTTATTTTACAATATAAATAGAGATAACAATATATAAATAAACAGATAAAAAGCTCGAGATACTGAGGGGGAGGAAAATAGAAACAATTGTAACAATTGATTCAATTTAATCATCAAATGTGATTTTACATTTTTTCGTGCTTTCAATTTTACTTCACTTCTTGTACTTTTGACAATATTGTTTTTTGACAATTTTGCAAATTTTGTTTTGCCGAGAAGTGTGACATATGAAATGCGTGTCACACATTTCGCGCATGTGGATATAAACTATGTGTATGACATGTAGAAATGCGGATGCAGAAGGTTCGTGTCGGAAACCGCGATTGTCGATATTTATGAGAACCGGCGGAGCGTCAGTGAATTATCCGGGAACATTTGTTCGACATATGTTTCTTCCGGATTCGGAGAGAACCGGTTTTCTTCCATAAAACTGTACAACTTAATTCAAGGCCAATCCAGTAAGGATTCCAATTAAACATTTCATTATGCACAATTATCAAATACTCCCTTAGTTGCTATATCTTCTTTGGATTCTTATTCTTACTTATTCTTTATCACAGTTTATACATAATTTCTTCTTGCTATAAAAAATAGCTATAAATAGCTCCTTTAAATTATATAAATTTAGTCCTAATTAAATAACGAGTAATCAATTTTTTATTATAAATAACATTGCCCGTAAACAATTATATAAAAATATAATTTTTAATTATTTACAGAATTAATTAATGTTTATAGTACAATACTACTACTTATAGCTTCAATTATTATCTATACATTTTATATTGTTTTTTATATTGTTTAAGTAATAAAGTAAAATAAGAAGAATTGAAGTCAATCTTAAAATAAATAAAAAAGTGATAGATGAGAGTTATAACTTTTTCTAATATTAATTAATAATTCCTTTGTAGCCTAATACTTTTAATTATTAAATGATATTGCATTTCGAAATGGATTACAAATATTTGTAGTCAAAATCTATAGATCATTTTTATATAATATTTACTAATGATGATTATAAATTTGTCTACATTTTTCAAGATGTTATTGAAGCAATAAATTCATACTTGAAGTACTAAAATGTGATTATTTAAAAATCATGATGAGTTTATTATAATTTGACATACAAGTTTTATTCACAGAATAAATAAATATGATTATATTTATTTGTCTCAGTTATCTCAAAATGGCGCAGTTCCATAATTTTAGGGATTTTTTCTTAAACAGGTAAATCTTCAAATGTGCGTGGCTCTGTCTTTCAAATGTACAAGTGGAACTTCCATACGAGCGCTGTCTTCTCACGCTCTTATCAAACTGAAAGAGCGGACAAGAGATAAGCAAATGACACGACAAGCGAAATGCAGCGGCAGGTTACGCTCCTGGTATCTCGCTGCGTCGTCACACCTGTTGCCCTCGGCAGGATACCAGCGTGATACGCCACTGGCACGTAAACCGCTGGCACGGCTCACCTGTTGGCCTCAGCAGTACTTGCTGGGTTCTCGACCGCGCGGCACCTTTCGCCCGAACGTTGCTGACGAAGCGACGACTTCACGTTCTTTACGTATCCGTCGTCCGGTAGGCTCTTCTCTCTCTTTCTCTCTCTCTCTCTCTCTCTCTCTCTCTCTCTCTCTCTTTCTCTCTCTCCCTTTCTCTCTCGCGCGCGCGTGCGTCTCCAAGAGACGAGTTCGCCGCTTCCCCGGTTGGTCCTCGTCCATCGGGGACCTCTACATCCGGTACCGGAAGGAGGAACCGGAAGGAAGGGATCCCGCGAAGCGGGGCCTTCGCCCTCAACCCGGAGGAACGCGACGCGCCGCACCGGACGGACGAGGAGGTGGGAAGGCAGGCGGGGGAAGCTAACCGGTCGGCCGCTTTCCGCGGATTCCTGAACCGCCGTCGGTCCCCGTCTCCGGA